CACTAAATTTTTTTATTTGGAAAGTTTTGAAATAATGAATCAAGATTTATTCAACATAATTTATACCTGTCTTTAAATCAGTGTATAGAAGAATTTGAGATGTCTTTTGCTGGTAGATTGGTTTTGCCTATTTAAAAATATTATTGTCCTTCAGCAGTCATCAATTATTCATTCATATATAGAATTGCAACTTATTAATAATTGTTTTGTTTATCTGCATTCTATAGCTGGCAGCCTGTTATTGACTACATTGATAGTAAATTTGAGGACTACCTGAATGCAGAATCTCGAGTAAACAGACGTCAGATGCCTGACAACAGGGTGCAGTGTTGTTTGTACTTCATCGCTCCTTCTGGACATGGGTCAGTGCCTAGATGCTTCTGATTGATACCTTTTTGTTGTTTACTATTACTCACCTTTTTGTTGTTTACTATTACTCACCTGTGCATATTTTAGTAGTATTTAAGTCTGTAGAGTACATATAACTGTACCAAATAATAAAAAGTACCAGATTCCATGCAGAAATGTGGGTTTTTTTTCCTACTTCAGAATATTATGGGGGTACAAACATTTTGGTTACATGAATTACTTTTGTACAGTTTTGAGTCAAAGTTATAGAAATGTCTTAGAAAACCTTTTTCAAGTCCTACATAAGCTAACAATGATTTTACTCCTTAGATCCTCATTCATAAGGATTTTACCTGCTTCATGGAAAGGAACAATGTTTCCACCATGGTTTGAGATCTCAATTTGTCTAATTTAGCTCTCATTTTGACCATTCTGCCACTAATTAAACTACTAAATGAGGAGAAGCAACCATGACAGTTAGATTTAGACATATTCTAAGAAACTCCAAAGATGGTATTTATTGTAAGTATAATGGAGTTGGTTATCAGAAATGCTGAAGTGCGAATGTTCTCTTGTGTCATTTCTTTCTTCAGTAAATCTTTTTGGCTTTTGTTTTACCTTAGCTGTAAAGTCACATTGTTTAGGTATAATGTAGTCAATACTAACCTGCTTATTAGGACTTAAGACCTAAGTGTAGACATTCATCTGATCTGATTATTCTGTTTGTTAGCAGTTATAGCCTGTACTCTTTTTTGTTGTTGTTCTTTGTACTTCCTTTGTCATTTTGAGTAAATACGTGTGTCACTGTCAACTGCAAATGTTTCGAATTACTCTTCTCCAGTCTTTTTCTTTGGGTAAATGACTCAGCATAATACAGCCACCTGATGACTATAACTCCACTATCTGTCCACCAAAAGGAACTGGACTATTATGTAGCATCAGACTAAATAGCATTAAGTCATGTAACACCCAGATTGCAATAATGTTAACCAATTCCTTCATAAGTGTACCCTTCTCTTCTATTTTCAGCTTCTCCTTCCATCTTTTTCCTAGATAGGCTGATGCTTGTTATCTCTTTCTTGACAGAGCAGGGAGCCTTAATTATATAGTTACTATTTTTGCACTGTCAGATTGGAGTGGTAAAGATGCTTCTTTCATTTCTTTTTTTCTTTTTTTTTTAATTTCAAAATATTAAGGAGGTAATGAATGTTTTTGTTACATAGATAGTTTTATAAAGCCTAAGTCAGGGCTATTAGTATGCCCATCACCTGAATAGGAAGAATAGTGTTCATTGTACCCATTAGATAGGTTTTTGCCCCTTCCCACATCCCCTCTCCCCCTTTCTTGATTTCCAATTTCTTCTTTTATGTCTAATATTCTTCTACAGTGTTCTCAGAAGTTTACATGTTTAAATCACTAAATTGACTCACCTACTTAAAAGGCTCAAAAAAAGTAATCTCAAAAATATAACACATTGTATAACCTTTTAAGAGTACTTGTGTAGCTTCTTTTAATTTATATTTTTTTATCATTCTGGTTTAACTTGTTAGGATTTTTTGTTGGAAGCCAGCAGAGTGAAATCTTAATCTGCAGTCAAGTCAGTAGAAATGTGTCAGCTTATAACCAGTTTTATTATTTTAGATCTTTTGGGCTCTCTCCAAGTTTTAGTAATTCTCATGAAATCACATTCCTCCTGTCCCCCCTGGGGAAAATTGTATTTCTTAAAATTGCATGGGAAATAAGAGGTTTTTTTAAAGAAAAAATTTTATAGGATTCAAGTGAGGTGTAGTGGCTTTGGGCCATTTAATTGTTTGTCGCAAGGAATGAGAGTTAAAAAATTTTATTTTCTATGTATAAAAATGTGCTTTTTGAACAGCTTCTCAGCTTAACTATTTTTAGAAATGGTGCAGAGTTTTGCCCACTGGTATGTAATACTATGGATTAACTGAAAGAATGTGACACTGAATTTTACAACATTGAAAGTTCCAAATCCCCTGGTCACTACGACTGAAATTCCATGCAATCTAATAAATGAATGATGGCCTTTCTGTCTCATCTGGGTAGTCTCTAGATTCCCTTTTTAGGGGGAGCTTGTTTTTAGGACCTGGTTTATGATCCAATTATAAATTGGTCCAACAGTGTATTTTCAGTGTCTTCTACTTCATCCTACCAAGTGCCATCAATGAATGAAGGGTTAATTTATGATTTCAGCCATTATGGCTTCATTTGCCTTGTTCACTGTTTTGTAATTGCTATTAAAATTAAAAACTGATTTGGAATTTGAATTTTAAAATGGTGTTTTATCCTTTTAGTATTGATTACCACTTTTAAAAAAATCAGTGTCATCCAGTAAG